GAGAGAGAGAGAGAGAGAAACATCAATGAGAGAGAATCATTGATCAGCTGCCTCCTGCACACCCCCTACTGGGGATCGAGGCCGCAACCCAGGCATGTGCTCTTGGCCGGAATCGAACTTGGGACCCTTCAGTCCACAGACTGACGCTCTATCCACTGAGCCAAGCCGACTAGGGCGGTACCCTGGCTTTTAATTCTATAGGGATAGCATTTCAGTGAGTTACACTTGTTATGCCTGACATTCAGTTAAGTAAGACCTTTTTTTATTTTCAGATCCCTAGGAAAACAGAAGGGATGTGTGGGCAGGCAGGACATATTTTAAACATAGCAATTTAGAAATTGTTTCTCTTTCAGGGAGTATCGTCCTGAATATGAACGTCTGAAGAAATCACTGGTAAGAGAGGAGGCTGTTTGTGTGTTTTAGGGCCACTGAAAAAACAACCTCAAACCATACACTTATCCCCCTGCCATTAATACTTTTGTTTCGGCCATCAGTGTGTCTTTTAGATACTTGTTAATTTAAATTTGTAAATGTCTATGTGTGCTGTCTGGATGTAGAAAGGCCCCTTAAATTATTTTTCTTTTCTTTATTTGAAGTTTTAAAAGCCAGATTTTTCTGCCCTGGTGAGGAAACTCAATGGTTAGAGTGTCGTTCTGATATGCCAACAAATTGATGTGCCCCCCCCCCCATTCCTCTCCTTCTAAAATCAATATATTTAAAAAAAATTTTTTTAAATCAGATTTTCTTGTTATATGTGCTAAGCCCTATTGCACCCTACCCCCGCCCCTACTCCGAGGTCCATTTAAAGGCTAGTTGTAGAGTTTTGTTTAGGAAAAGAGAGGTGGTTCACAACTCTCATTTCAACGGATCAGGTATCCTGTCCCCATTGGCCGCACTGGGCTCCATATCACCGAGCCTTCCTGCTGTATCTGCTTGAGGGGTCTTTTGGTGTATTTTGTGTCCAGCTCCTGGAACTTCTGATTCAGTCTCCAGAGCCCTCCAGCCTGAACTGCTAATCTGGGCCCATACTGCTCAGTGTTTCTATCTCCGTATCAGCCATCCCTTATCTGCCTCAATGTTTAGGAAGTCTTTGGCATTTGTATAATTGGTCATCTCCAGTCAGAAGATACATCTGACTTGGGGCTCTTTTTTGAATCTAATGATAGTTTTCTCTACATGTACAGGCCAGTGCACAGAGCCAACAGCAGAAAGAACAACTAGAACGCCTTCAGAAAGATATGGGCTCTGTTGCCTTGGACACAGGAGCTGCTACAGGTATTGGAGGGTCTCTGGTGTTAGGGACTGAAAGTGGATATGTTATTTCTACTCGGCAGGAAGACACTTATATTTAAGAGCGGAAAGAGAAGAGGGGGATGTTTTCCTTATGTAGGGTTTGCATATTTCTTATTAAATTTATTTCAAGGATTTTTTTCTTCTTCGTTAGTGTTGAAAATAGTTTTTTTGAACAATTGTATCTTCTGATGATGTTTGTGTGTACAAAACTTTTAATTTTTGTACATTAGTTTTTTTATTCTGCTACTTTACTGACTTTTGAGTTAATTTTGTAATTGATTCTCTAGGGATTTCTAGGTTGGTACTCATAGTTAAATGTATATACTCCCACCCATCCACACTTACTGATGGGCTGGCCTTTAAAGGAGTGAAGTTCTATTCAGGAAAGCTATTGCTATACTCCTAGTAGAGAACATGCAAAGCTGCTTGGAGGAGATGCTAGAAATGGACTGGGTTGACCAGTTACATGAACTTGCCTATGCCGTCCTGGTTGCACACCTCAGCAACATCAATTTCTATGTGCTGTGGTCTTTGGAATCACTCATGAATACACGAAGTGGCAACTGTTAAATCTGTTGCAAAGGGTCTGCTGTCCTTAGATAACCTGCTAAAAGTTGGAGGAGTTTCAGTCAGTCACTTGGGGAAATCACAAGTACAATTGTGTAATTCTGAGTTGGGCACAGAATGAAGCAGGGACTGTTGGCACACCATGCGGTCATCCTTTCTCAGGGCCGGGCCACTTGAGCTTTGTGCCCCTTGGTGTTGCTGCTTTTTGACACCCTATTCCCCAGCTCATCCTGCTTGACCTTTTAGGCACCTGAAGGGAGAGTGGTCATGTCCTCCCATGGCTTTAGGTTACTTGGCACGGTTTCAGGTTCTTACAGAAACTGACCCCTGTAGGCGGAATCCCCTGCCTAGGAATGACCTGATTATACTTCTTCCTGATTATTGGAGCTCAGCCCTATTGAGTTTCCCTAAGTAGGGAATTTACCTCTATTATTATATTCAGTTTTCCATAATCTCCCCCCACCCATCTTATTTCTTAATAATACCCTGGTTCCTCTACTCTGGGTCATTTTACACTGTGCTCTCTTCCGACCCTTTCTGAACTTAATTTCCACCAGGAAGCTTCCTCGGTGCTCCACACTGACCCTTGACTAACCAGCACTCTGGATCTGCTCGAACGTCTTGAGCCTTCATAAGAAAATGCGTAGTCTATTCCAAGCTGTCAGCTATTAAAAATGAATGAGCCTGGCTGGCATGGCTTAGGGGTTGAGCATCGACCTATGAGCCTGGGGGTCACGGTTGGATTCCCCGTCAGGACATATGCTTGGGTTGTGGGCTCGATCCCCAGTGTGGGGCATGTGGGAGGCAGCCGATCAATGATTCTCTCTCATCATTGATGTTTCTATCTCTCTCCCTCTCCCTTCGTCTCTGAAATCAATTAAAAAAATATATTTTTATAAAGAATGACATTCCTACTAAGACAAGCTACTTGAGAATTATTTTCCTTAGTTTAAAAATAAGATCTTCAGCCCTACCTGGTTTTGCTCAGTGGTTAGAGCGCCGGGCTGTGGACTGAAGGGTCTTGAGTTTGATTCCGGTTAGGGGCACATGCCCGGGTTGCAGGCTCGATCCCCAAAAGGGAGTGTGCAGGAGGCAGCCAATCAATGATTCTCTCTTATCATCGATGTTTCTATCTCTCCCTCTCCCTTCCTCTCTGAAATCAATAAAAAATATATTAAAGAAAAACAAAACCTAAAAAATAAAAAGACCTCTTGACTTATTAGAATAGTGAAAGCACGTTGTGAATTAGACTTGAAATGTTATGTGGCATTAACAATACGTTTGGGAGAAGTAGGATCCTGCATTTTATCATGACCACTTTCATCCAGCCAAATTAAAAATTGTAGTTATTTACCAATTCAGAATCACCTTTTGGAGGAGGCATGTGTTCATGACATGCTGCTGGTGTTTTCTCTGTAGACAGCTTACCTTCTGGGCGGGACCCTTCTGACTTGATCCTCACTCGGGGAACCTTGGATGAAGAGGATGAAGAAGCAGACAGCGACACTGATGATATTGACCACAGAGGTGAGAGGTGGCTCATGAAAAGAGACTAGTTGCTTATCCTCACATAGTTTGGTCAGGACCTTCCTGTTAAGAGAAGGTCTTGAATATGCATCCAGTAATAGGGGAGAGGAGCCGTAGCCAGTTGCTCAGCGGTTAGAGAATTGTCCTGCAGATTTAAGGGTTGCAAGTTCGATTCTGGTCAGGGGCATGTACCTCGGTTGTAGGCTCAATCCCCAGCCTCAGTCTGGGTGTGTATGGGAGGCAACCAATCTATGTGTGTCTCTCACATTGATGTTTCTCACTCTCTCCCCCTCCCTTTCACTCTGTCTAAAAAGAAAAAAATCAATGGAAAAAATATCCTTGGGTGAGGATTAACAAAAAAGAAAAAAAAAATTGGGGAGAGAGGAGATGGTTAAGGTATAGCACCAGGAAAGAGTCTCATGCATTGGGAGTTCCTGGCCTTCCTGCTGAATGGTTAATATTGAGCTGATTACAGGCCTTTTATTAGTCTGTCTTCTCAAGTTAGGTCCTGACTCAGTCTGAGGAATCTAGGATTTTGTTTATTGTAATTGCTTTAAGAATACATAAGGAGGCCTCAGCAGACCTGAACTAGTCAGAAGAGACTGCAAGTAACACTTTGAGGTTAAAATGGCTCTGGAAACCCAAAAGGGTTAACTTGGCATAGTTTTATGGACTGTGAACAGAATCTATTTCTTGAAACAGCCCTTTTAGATCCTCGCTATGACCAAGAGCAAACTTCTCTTTATTCCAATGTACTGGATGCTAACATGTAAAGTGCCTCATGTAATCAGATTTATTGAAGTATAATTTATAGAGTAAAACCCACCTTTTAAAAGTTTCTAGTTTGGTGAGTTGTGCATTCCCCCCCCCCCGCCCCCCCAAATTATAAGAGAAAGTTTATTTAGAAAGTTACAGAGGTGGTAGAAGTGAGGCCCTCCAAGAGGGCCCTTGGAGCTTAGGAGAGAGAAAGGCAAAGGTAAGGTGCCTTTGGGGAAGAAAAGGATGGGAAAAGCTCAGGCATGAGAGAGAGAGAGAGAGAGCGCGCACGCGCCTCTTGAGGAGTTTTAACACATATAGTCTTGTAACCACCGTCATAATCAAGATACAGAACACTTCCATTACCCCTGAAGTTCTCTCATGCCGTTTTTATTCAGTCCCTTCCTGCATACCTAGTTCCTGGCAATCACTGATCTAATTTCTGTTCCTGTAATTTTGCCTTTTCCAGATTGTCATATAATTGGAATGACAGTATTTAACTTGCATTCAACTTTTTTCAATCAGTATAATGCTTTTGTGATTTGTTGCATGTATTAGTAGTGTTTTTTACAGTTGAGTAGTACTCCATTATATGGATCTATCACAATTTATGCATTTACCACCTGGTTGACATTTGGGTTATTTCCAGATTTTAGCTCTGATAACTAAAGCTGCTATTAACATTCATTAACAGATCTTGGTGTGGACATATGTTTTCATTTCCTTTGGATAAAAATAGAAGTGGAACCTCATTTTAGTTACTTTATGAGGGGGGTTTTTCCCCCACTTACAGATAAAAGAAACTGTACATTTGGGGCCACATGGTAAGCATGCTCTGGGAGATTTTTCCTGACTGGGAGAAGTGAACACTTAGTTTCTTAGAAACAGAGTACTGTGTCTGATGGACGGGTGCAGCAGGTCTCTACCTGTCTAATGGGAGAGTTTAAAAAGAATTGACCTTTCTTTCCTTGCAGTTACGGAGGAAAGCCATGAAGAGCCAGCGTTCCAGAATTTTATGCAAGAATCAATTGCACAGTACTGGAAGAGAAACAAATAGTTTCTAGATGTCCAAAAGTTTGGAACTCTGTGAAGAAACTATCCTTACCTCTGATTGGGGTTACTATAAAGAACAATTTTGTACAAAATAGCAGCGTTTCTCTTATTAGGGAGATTTCCTGACTCCAGTGAAGCCAAGGATAGAAGAAATGTGGACCTGGCAGGTAGATGTTGATTGCCTGTGGCCTTTCCCTAGGATTTTGCAAGGAAGGATTTTCTGACTATTCTTGGATGCTGGTGTTCTGCCTGTAAACCTTCACGTTTTATCATTTGAACTCAAGTACTTTTGCTGCTAACGGACGGAATAGAGAACATATTGTTTGTTCACTTCAGATCTCTATTATTAGGCTGTATTTATAGCCTCTATTTCCCAAGCATCTTGCCCTTGACCCATGAGTTTCCCTCCTTTTAGCAGAATGGGAGATAAGAAACATGAGCTTGTACAGAGTGGCAGTGGAGTCTCCTTGGTAAGCAGTCAATGTTGATATGAAATGCTTGGTAGCTCATTATAGGTTTGTTGAAGAAAGTGGACAAAACATATAATTAATAAGAATCCTGTTTTTGATGGTGACTTGGATAGAGTTTTTAATTTTAACTTTGGTATAAGCCTGCCTGTCAGAATTTAAAATAAGAAAATTATATAATTATAAATAATTTCACTTCTGTTGATCAGAGAGATTTAAAGACACATGTCCAAACCTGACTCAGTAAGGTGATGTTTACTAAAGTTTCCCTGGTTACACAGGGACCTACCTAGTAACCAGGTATAGAGCCAGGCCCTGTTTGCATTTTACTTTGAACTTAATGCAAAATATGCTTAGTGATTTTCCGAAGGCCATGGACTTGGGTCAGGTGTACATTCCATATATAACAATCATGGTTTACCCTGCCTCCATTCTTCACAGTATCTCAAAATGTAGTGCATTTTTCCTAAGGAATTTTTCCCTGCCTAATCTGTCCTCCAATGGTTCTGGAAGTGTGGTCTCTGGGCCAGAAGCATAAGCATCACCAGGGAAATTGTTAGGGAACACTGAAGACCTGAATCAGAAACTGGGGGTGGGGCCCAGCAATCTGTTTGAACCACTGCTCTAACAACCCAAACAACCTGGGACAATTCTAGGCCAGATGACTCTCAGGTATCAGCCATATGACCTGCTTTATCAGAGGACCCCAACTTTGACCATCTGGTGCCTCTTCTCCAATTTAAACATTCTAAAAATAAAAGCATTTTATTTTACCATGAAGTATTAATTTCAATATTCTGTACCTAGTGGGAACCACTGGTCTAAAATTTTGAATCTATAAGAGGAAACCATTTGCACAGCAAAACTCTGAACATACATGGTTTTCCCCTTAGTGCCTTTGAATACTTTTTCCTTAAAGAATAACTTGTATGGCCTATACTATATGCTCCATAAGGGCAGGCATAATGTCTTGATTTTGGTCTTGACTAAAGGAGTGCTCTAAATTGCACAAGATTAGTAATCTGCATCCATAAACTTCAGCAGAATTTAACAAGCGGGCACCTATTACCAAGGCATAAAGCACATGTTTGCTAATTACTCCTAATTATTCCAATGCCGCATCATTTACATAATAAATACTGATTGAGACTATCAGATGCTAAGTAGGGCAGTACTGGAATGGATGAGTGACAGTAGTAAAGTTCAGGATATTATGTAGAGTAGAAAGTCTCTTTTTAGAGGCTACCCATCTAGTAGAAGCACAATTTGCAGATGTAGAATTCTGGCAAAGCAATGGGACTGCTGGCCTCTGATGGCCAAGCAGATGCAACAAATAAAATAAGCACAAACCGGTCTTTGGACAGTTCTTGTTTGTTTTATTCACAAAGGAGAAAATGAAAGAGGCAATTAAATAAATGTACATAGAGAAAATATTTAAAAAATCTTAGTGGAAATAAAGATAAGGATGAGGATAGATGGAACAAATCTAAAGAAGCAAGAAGAAAATCTGTGGATGGGATAGGAGAGGGCTGTTTGAAAAAGCAAAAAGGCTGTGTTACCACAGACCTGGTTTTATGAGACTTCATGGGCAACAAAAGTTTTAGAAAGACTCCGGATGGGTAAGTTGTGCAGAGGTTAGCGATTTCTTGCTAGGTGTTAGTACTGGATTCCCAATGACAACCAAACATGAAGTAAATTTAAAAAACTGACATCTGATACCAGCATACATTTACTTGTGAATCTTATTCAAGCACAACTTTGAGGTTTAATAGCATCTTAGTCTTCACAGCAGCCCTGCAACATGGGTCAAAGTGGTACAATTCTCAGTTGTGCAAGAGAAATGGCCTTAGAGAAGCTAAGCAACGGGTCTAGTCACAAGGACAGTCGTCAAAGACAGTGCTCTGATCTCCTGATTACCATCCCAGCATCATGACATACCTGTAAAATGTGGCTTGGTTGGTGTGGAAAATTACAAAAACTGAATGCAAAAGTAATATGCAAACTTGTTTGGTTAAGTCCAATTTCACTGAAATCAGGAAAATCCACTGTGTTTTAAGAGTCAAATCGCTATGGAAACAAATCTGAATATATCAGGTTTTCTGTTGGGTTTGTAGGTTTGGACAGGAAATCTCTTTTCCTTTTATATTTTCCTAATCCTCTTCTTGCAGCGCTGGTTGAAAACGGGGGAGGATCCCATGAGGCTATCAGTGGAGTGGGAGCCGTAGCTGCTGTCTGAGTCATCCGGGCTCTGGGGGATTCCAGCTTCACTCATGCCTGACATGGGCTCCTCGAAGACATCGCTGCCCAGCACGCCGTGCCCAGAGACATTGCCTTCTTCGCTCTCTTGAGGCTCCATTTTCACGTGGGCCAGATTCCAAAGAGGGGAAGCATTTACCTCTGTACCTAAAAATGGAAGAACATATAACTACAGGCCGTCCTCGGGTTACGTCGGACAAGATGTACATCGTCTCGTGGTTACGTCACCTCCCATTTATTTATAAAAAAAAAAGTTCTGTCATTTCGACATATGTACATATGTGCTTTATGTTTTTTTTTAATTATTTACCACAAGTAAAGGTCAGGAATTGTTATCTTTCTTTTAAATTTTTTTTACTGTTTCACTTCATTGCTGTGTATGTGCTCCATGTGAGTGACATAGGTGCTTATGTAGGTGGGTTCCGACTTATGGCAAAAATTGCGTTACACTGAGCCGTAGGAACGGATCTCTGATGTAACCCGAGGACCTACTGTACTGGTAAGCCAAGGCTGGAACAAAGTAGAATAAATATCCTACCCAGGGCAAACTGATGGCCTTTGAGCTCAGCTTATATTCTGACTATTGGCTGGAGAATATGGTTATAATTCTCTGCTTAAAAAAGTTAGACCAACTCTGAATATCTTCCTTTCCACTTCTTCCTTCACCCTCCCTCACCCACCCCCATTTTTCTGAACCAGGGAAGTAAAACTGCATGCATGTGGCAAGACTCCCTGTCTCATGGCCCAAAGGCAGGTACAACCACAGGCTCTTGCTCAGTTATGTTTGCTTGTCCTTCCTTCCTTTAATGGGACTGCCTTGTTTTCCTGCCTTTTGTTTGGGTCCCTGGTCCTATCTCATTATGAAAAGTTAATGATCACTCCACAATGCTAGCAGTTCATGGACTGCTGAAGAGAGACATGGCCCCTAAGTCTGCAACAAGGCCCTCTGCGTGTCCTAGCAATACTGTTCTGTGGGCATTCTCCATGGTGAAAGGCTCTGCCACACAGTTGTAACAAATGTGGCCTCATTCTGTTTATGCCACACTGGAGGATTTGCTGTTTGCTTCCTTTGAGCATTGATGAAATGACAAATTATATTTGTAAAGAACCAAGTGTCTAGACTAATTGCAGTCTCACTGACTTAAGGATCAAGTCATCCTGGTTTGTAAGGTCATCGCGAAGTCTATCTGGAAGAAGGGGCCAGCTGCCTGTGTAGCCCCGTGCAAGCGCTTTTAGTTCCAATTTGTTGCGTTACTCTAGCAAGGAAGCCCGACTATTCAAATATCCTTGAGCAATTAACACTCATTTATCTGGAAGTTGTCTTAATTGAGTACAAGCACCAGGAAGGACCAACACAGATACTAAGGGAGGGAGGGGACATCTGCCTACCTAGCTGGGTCAGCTGAATTAACTTGTAATCAGTAGGACAACATATATTACATCCATATCCTAACTAGGAATTCTTTAAAAAATGCTTGTTCTCTCACTACAAAGAGAAGAATGTTGGTATCTCTAGATCAGTGAAGCTGTACTTGTCTTTAGACTTTTTATTCTCCTGCTCTCTTCCGCTTTTGCTCTTCAGAGTATAATTCCATAAGGTAAGAAGTACTGAGATTGGTAGATATCCCAGAATCAAGTGTAAGTTGATTTCTCTTACTTGAAGCCTGCGGTGAAGCCTCAACCTCCAGGTTAGACGGGAAGCGCTCGCTCTGAGCCCCGAGGACTCCCATGGGCAGTGACTGGTCTCCAGAAGCAAGGTCAGCCTCCAGTTCCTCACTGACCGGGAAGGTGATGTCACTCACAGGTTCCTCCTTGATCTTTACAGGTTTAGTGTCCTCTGAGGCCTTCTCAGGATTGACAATCCTTTCATACTCTTCAGAAAGTTGCTTACTAATCTGTTGGCAAGCAAGAGACAATTTTCCAAAGAAATATGGAAACAAGTTGGATAGTATGGAAAAGCCAACAGAATATGAATAAAGCACCCACTGCCAATGGAAGGAATCTGCTTAAGATGTTGAGTTTGCATTTGTAAATGATAGACATGTGAAGAAAATTTGTTTGCAGAGAGTGTGTGTGTGTGTCATTAATTGAAAGTTATATAAAGGTGAAAAATAGAGATAAATCAGAAATGGGACAAAAGATCACATTTTTGGCTATAAAACTAACAGTTAAGCCCTGACCGGTTTGGCTCAGTGGAGAGAGTGTCGGCCTGCGGACTGAAGGGTCCCCGGTTCGATTCCGGTCAAGGGCATGTACTTTGGTTGTGGGCACATCCCCAGTAGGGGGTGTGCAGGAGGCAGCTGATCAATGTTTCTCTCTCATCAATGTTTCTAACTCTCTCTCCCTCTCCCTTCCTCTCTGTAAAAAATCAATAAAATATATTTTTAAAAAAAGTAACAGTTAACATATGTACCCCAGGTGGGTAATGAATGGTGTAGGAACTCTGGACCACTTAGCAAAGACTTCTTGCTGTAAATGTAAACGTATACAGCTTACACAGCATTAAAAATTCTTTACGATATTTTAGGTTTGGGGAAACCGAAACAGCGAGCAAATTGCTTGCATAAGGCCACAGTGGTTAAGAGAGGAGATATTTCTGGTTCTAACCCAAAATGGTGTCTCTCCCTGCTTTCCCACCGTGGGCAGTATCACTTCACTGTGTGTTTGGCCAGGTCATTGATGAGGCCAGTGAATCTCATCTAGGGCCACGAGGAAAGTAGGTTATGTCCTCTGTTCCAAGATCCTGTGCTCTGCATTCTACAGCAATTGTGGGATCCTGCTGAGCACCCTAGACTGCGTCCTCCAGGGCGTTGCCTCACCTGTAGCATGTAACTGTGATAGTCCTTGATGCGGTGCTGCCAGAACTTCTGGAGGGAGAGCACACTGCCAATGCCCACTTCATGGAATACCTGCTCCATAACGTCAGGAAAAGGCGTCTGCCCCAGTCGGGCCTCCCGATCCACAGCAAAGCGCAGCAACTTGGTGAACTTAAGGCAATACTCATGTGCCACATCAGTTAGGGTCTCCAGGACACTTTCATTTGCACACTCGAAGCCTGCATGGGCCAGGATGGTGGCCACTGCCTGGTAGAGGAGCTGCCGGCAGGAGTGCCAGCTGAGTTCAGTCACAGGTTCCCCTTTCCCACTGAAAGCAGACACATGGGGGTAGTGTTACGAGTGCTCCTGCAAAAGGGTGACCTGTCCTGTCTCCCTAGAAGTTTTACAATTCCAATCAAACCACTGGCCCAGCTTTCCAGGAAAATTCTATGCAGTTACACAGCCCAGTTTTCTTTTTCTTTTTTTTATTTTTATAAAAAAATATATTTTATTGATTTTTTTAGAGAGGGAGGGAGAGGGATAGAGAG